AGTATTTCTTCAATATAATAGAGAGAGAAAACCTATATTGTTGAAAAGATTTTTATTAATTACTTCTTATTCAGTTGGATAATAACCTAATGCTCTCATAACAAATGATATTTTACTTGATGGAATTTTCGGTGTTACTTCACGACGATCATATCGATATATATCTTGACTAAAAATATAAATTTTATTAAAATTTTATTTATTCGCATATAAACATACAATCTTAATTGGCTATAATAAAATAAATCTGTCATTTCTTTAAAAAATTTTCCTTCTCTTCTACCTTCTAATAATTTATAAAATGATATCAAATCTTTTCCATCCAATTGTGCTTGAGCTAGCAATAGATGTGGATTAAACCGTAACATGTGCACAATATTATCAAGTTCACCACTTGTAAATAAATATTGTCCATCATAACTAGCACGTACATCACGAACACGATTTGGATGTGCTGTACTAGCCATTTGATCATATGGATTACCAGTTAATGGTAAACGTTGAAGATCTATTTTTATCTGTTGTCATAAAATAAATATATTCTTCATTTGAATTTTTATCTAATTTAGGAAGAATATCGATTTTATGTAATGGTGAACCAAATGTTGGACATAAAATCGTTTTTCGACACATTTTTGTACCAGAATTATACAATTTATATTTATATTTATATTCATTATTAGTTGTAACGAGAAATGATTCTTTTATTAATGATGATGGATAATAACAAACTGACATTGTTTCAGCTATTTGTTCAATACGTGTTGATGGTTTTAAAACAAGTTGATCTATTTCACTTTCATTTAAATCATATTCAGTTAATGTACGATCAGCATCTAAAAACAAAATTTTTATCAAAAAAAGGAAAATTTCAATTTTGTTTACCAATTGTAGTTAGTATTGGTCAATTGTCATCATGTGTTAAGCCAAAAAAATAAAGCTCGAATAGGTTTATAATGTGCACGATAACGACCAATAAATGTATAACTATCATCATTACTTAAATTTTGTCGATAAATAGATACTGTATAATCATCTTCCTAGAATAAAAGCATTTTATTTATGATGATATCAAATTAGATGATTTTGATCTTACTGTTGTAGCTAAATAAATTAATTTCGGTGAAAATTGAATAAAAAGAATAGCTGTTTTAGCATAATGAAATGGTACATTAACAGTACTTTCTAATGAGAGTGCATCACATAATGTCAATTGTCCATTGGCATAACCAATAGCAATAAAATTTCCATTATGATTATAACGTAATTGTGTAACAGCGTTGTCTTGTGTACGTTGGAGACTTGTTATAATAACTTTTTCTTGATAATTCCATAATTATAAACGACAAGATGCGTTAGCAAGGCATAATTTATGTTGAAATGGATGAGTACCTAATGCATAAATAGCTGTTGAAGAATCACGTTTTATAATTGATATTTGTTGACCGGAATGAGCAATAACAGCATTTGATGATGAGATGAGAAAGTCAAATCGAGTGTAGAAAATGGCGGTTGATCTAATGTTGATCACTTTTGTTCATATATGTTATATTTGATAAATAAGATGGAGGATAATAATCTGATGTTGTATACGTACATGATATTGATTGAATTGGTTTAATACGAAAATGTTCAAACCACATACGTGATTTAAGTTCTTGATCAAAAAACGTATTACATCATCACAACCACGTGTTGCCACAAGACTAATAGCAAGATTTTCTTTATAAAATCTTACTTTTTTTCTAACTTACTCGCTAGTTGTTATTAAAATAATTATTTCAATAGTAATTTTGCATGATTTCTTCGCTCATATTCTGCTCGGATGAAACAGCTGTTTAACAATTAGGTTAATTAAGATTATCATAAATGGTTCACATATTCTCAATCTAAAATAAAAGATATTTCTTAAATGTTGCATAAAAAAAAACTTTTTCAATTTTTTTTTATTCTTTTTTCATAAAAAAACTAAATATCTTTTTTTCAAGCCTAATGTATATTTCAGATTTCATGTTCGTTCGTCTTTTTTATTTATTATTTTACATACAGTTGAAAAAATTCTTTGCAAAACCAACCAGTCTTCATCATCGACTTTGTGCATTGCTTGTTGTTTAAGAAATTGATTAAGATCAAAATCTTGTTTAAGTTTGTGGGCTCGAGCATAATGTTGAATATCATGATAGATGTGAACTGAATCATTTCCCTTACGTTTTTCACGAAGTAACAACAAGAATTGCTCGGAATCAATGTCAAATTCTTTAGCAACATTATTAAGAACATCATACATCAGTGGATATTTATTTTCCAATTTTTTAATGTCAATTCTTTTATTATAATAAATTCCAAATTTACGTCCGGGTAATTGACGATTATCATATTCATCATGGAGTCGGTCACGACCAAGAATTAAAAAATCACGAATTAGGATTTGTTTTTCCAATAATTTTTCTTTTTGAGTTCGTGTTTGTTCCGGTAATGCTAAATTTTCCACTTTCTTTTTTAAATCTTTATTGTTTTCTTCAACTGTTTTGATTTTCATCTAAAGTAAAATTGAACAAAGAAAAATAAGATGTTGATTTCAAAAATCGAAAAAACTTACCGTGGCATCATTAAACATACTTGATATGATGCAAAAACCACCTTCAATAGCCCAGGTCGATCAAAACGGACCGCCGTAAACAGTCGTTTTGCATCGTATTCCGTCGTAAAACGGTCGTTTTAAGCCGAATTAAGGCGTTTTAACAGGGGCAGTATTACGGTCATACACGGACACCGTATATCAGCCGTAAAACCTCGTAAAGCCTGCGTAACATTATCGTATTCTATAGAACATACGGCCGTATTACTGCCCCTGTTATACGGGGAAAATATGGCACGTAAAACGGGTCGTATTTGTATCGCGTACGACCGTTTACTGATCGTTTTCTTCGACAGGGGTAATACCTTTTCAGTTTCGTTCCAGATGATAAATGATCTTAAATTTTCTTGATACCATCTTAACATTGATCCTGTTAATTTACTCATGGTTTCCAGGATTTTTTGTTTCATCTTTTTATTTCATTAATGAGAATAAATTGTTCAAATCTAATAGCCATTCATCGATATCAGTTTCTTTAGATTCACCTGAGAATTCAATAATTTTCTTCATTGCTTCTTTTTGACTTGAATGAAGTTGTCGGGTTTCCATTGTATTTGCTTCGATTTCTTGTGCAACTGACATATTGTTGGTCTTTCTATTTCGCATTCGTGTTGGTGAATTTGTAATTAATTCGCATGATAAAAGATTCACACTACTGTGTTTAATCGCGCTTCTTGTATCGGTAGCCGTTGTTAAGCGAAAGAAGAAAAAAATATGCACTCGAATTAAGGGCAAAATTTTGAACCTTGTATATATGATAAATACCTTGTTATAGTGAATGGAAAATGATTTGTTGATCTCTCTTCTCTTTTAAGATGAGATTATAATTCAGTCTTTCGTCACGGATGAGTTAATCAATTATAATCTGGTTCTTCTTCGATGAAGTAACTGGAAGAGGACCGGTCACAGCACCAATGTCATAATGGCTCGCTTCGTCGAGCTTTACGTTTATTTCAATTCCCCTTATCTTCCAAGAAAACATGTGTATATATATATAATAGAAAGCAGATGAGAGAAGAAAGATACATAACAAGTGATAGAGAGAGAGAGAAACACGCCATACAGGGCATAGTGATATCCCTGTAACAGAAATGAATGATGGTTAACTGCTGACCATCTCTACGTTCAGACAGTTCGTAAACAAACTTGTTAAGGTCCTGATATCACGTTGATATGTATTGGTACAATTTTCTTAACTTCTTGCTTTTATTTTCAATCTTCGAAAATCACACGCACTCTCTTTTTCACTTCACTTATCTCTCTCGCTG